TACCCACCTTTCCGTGTTTATTCAGCTTTTTTAAATGATAAAACTCTACAACATCTGCCTGGGGACCAGAAACTGAATTTAACAACAGCTTAAAACTGCTTCACCCTCTGAGGGAGACCCTGAGCAGGCTCAGGCCTGTGGTGTCAGCGCCGTGCTGACGAGGGGCTTCCGCACCCGGCGGGGGCTGTCAGGTGCACCTCACCCCCAGTTAGAACACGTGCAACTGTTGAGCTTAAACTAATGTTTGAACCATATGATAAATCTATTCTCTGGGCGCATCTTCCCCAAAACTGAGTCTGCAGACCTGCTCTCTCCCTCACCCCTCTGACCCCGCAGCGTTCTCCAAGCCCCTCTTCCCTGGGAAATGCCCACGGGCTCACCACCCCCGCAGGAAGCAGAGGCCACCCACCACCCCGCTCCTCCCCTGGTGGCTCCGGCGGTCGGCTGCCTGCCTCTGGCCTTCCAGGCTCCGGCAAGGGAGTAGCCAAGCTGCTGCACCACCACCTCCTGCCCTGGGGGGGTCTCCTCCTCCTCCCTCTCCCACATAGCTTCAAACCACAGAGGTGCTGAGCCAGGAACTTACCTTTCTCTCTAGGTGACCACGCATGCATGCGCACGCACTCCCAGCTTTAAACAGCCTCCAAGCTCTTACCCACTTCCTAACTTTTGCCCCTTCTTGCCTGAACTCCAGCCTTTTGCCGGTAAAGGCTCCCTGTCACCTCCACTTGGATGTCTCATGTCCCAAACATACACCTAGGGTTTGTGTCCCCAAACCCAGGTGCCCAAATCAACACCCTGGCAATCTTGATTCCCACCTGTCCATCACCCCCAGGCCACAAACTCAACACTGATTCCACCTCCAAGACCCATGTGACACCCACCCCGATGGTCTGCACGGCCACCAGCACCATGAGCGCCGACTCCTGGATAAGCCTGCTCCACGCCCCCCCCCCTTCCCCGTCACAGAGCAGCCTGGTGAGCTGTGCTCATCTGACGCCTCTGCTCAAACCTCCCGACCAGCGAGTGTGACCAAGCCCAGGGCTGCCCAGGTCCCAGTGACTGGTGGTTTACCCGTGTCACCGAACAAAGGAACCTCGCCCCCTTACATAGCATGTTCTGCCCACACCAGCCCCTTGCCCACGCATGGCAGGCTCTTTCCCTCTGAGAGCAGAGCCGTGCACACCTGTCCCGGACACCTGTCAGGGTGCCCTCCTTTCCAGGCAGGTCCCACCTCTCAGGTCTCTTCCTCAGAGGGACCCTCCTTAGCCAAAAGAGACAGAGAGGGGTCTCCCACTCTCCTACCACAGACCCCCATGTCTCCCTCACTGCACTTACTGACATTTTTGACTGTTCACTGATCAGGGTGCCTGGGCAGGGTTCTTCTCTACCAGCTGATCACCAGCTCCTCTCAGCAAGGCCCTGGCTCAGAGCACGTGCTCACTAAGCAGTGGCAGAAAGAAGCAACACACCAACCACAGCCTGCAAAGGGCAAGGCAGAGCTGTTTATAAATCTGTTCGTGATAATCACTTAAAAACAGGAGGAGGGAGTGACAACACAATTGTCAAAGGGCAGTGACTGCAGTTAGACGGACAAACCCAGGACGGAGGGCCAATGGTGTCTGCTATCACTAAGAGTCCCCGGGAGAACACAGAAAATCAGCTAAGCACTGGCAGTGACCACGCCTCTACCCGGGGGGGTCTCCTCTGGAGGCCGCTGCTCTCCGGCTTTGCTTTAGTGCAGTTTTCTCTTCAACTTTGGTTGGAACAGAAGTAAGGCCATGTGCCACTCTTTACTCATCAGGACAATAATGTGCATGGCTTACTTTTATTTTTTATTATAAAAAACACATACAAGAGTTTTAAGAAATGATGAAAATACGACAATCAGGACCATGGTGAGTTATTAAACCCATTTCTATGTACAAACACTAAAATTCCGAAAGTGGAACACCATCAAATGTGAGACACATCATAGCTGCTCACGTGCACACGGCGCGCGCAGGGGCGTGCCCGCCGGCGCCTGTCTGCACACGCTCACGCAGGCGCCCGCGGGGACGTCTGCTCTGCTCCTTTTCCTGACACGTAGTTAAATATTTTTAAGGACTTTAGAGATATGAAGAAATGCACTAACGTGGGTTTCTAAAGGCTCTCCCTGTTTTATTTACTCTGATCAGCTGCGCACGACACCTGGAGGGGAACTCTGCAGCCCATTTCCAGCTAAGACAGCAGACGGGCCTCCCAGCTTTTGGGCCACCTCATTTTTTCCTAGTCAGTCATTTGGGCACAAAGTCCAAAATTGGCTCAGGAACCAAATCAATGTTTTTATATTAAATTCATTACAAAATGCCACTCAATTTTAAAAAGCGACTAAAAGGACACTTTCTGCAGCAAAAAAAGGGCTAAGTTCAAGTTTTTGTTGTTTGACCAAGACACAACGAAACACAATGCATACGTCACAAGATCACTGATGAGATGTATGTGGTCTGGGGGAAAACAGCCTCTGTGCGCTCCCCTGCCTCTGCCACAGAGAGGAGAGCCTCTCGGCGCCTTTTTCTCCCTCAGGTCTCGTTCTCTGCAACCTTGGTCTGCATCCTGACGCGGACTGATCTGCTCCCGCCGGGACGCGGGAAGGCACTTCTCCAGGCGCGAGCCGGGTCAGGCCAGCTCGTCGGCGCACAGCGCGCTGACCTCCTGCAGGTAGCCGACCACGGCCGAGGGCACGCTGTGCGCCGTCTCTCTGCGCCAGGCTTCCAGGATCTTGGATATTTCCGCAGGATTGCTGGGACTCAGGTCACACAGAGCGTACACGGCTGCCAGCTGTATACCCCACGGTATATCTGAAAAGAGTTTTCATGTCAGTCAACAAGGAGAAAATCTTTGTTATTCAAGATGTCTTATGTTGTTAATCTACTGAAATACTACTCAAATACAGAATAATATCTGCCAGCAATGAAAACCAAAAATTAAAAATAAATTCAACAATGAAAAAATTCATTTAAGTCCCTTCTACAAATAGGGAAAGAATCCCAAAACTAGAGCAGCTGGATACAGGTTCCTAGGGTCGTCCCCGAGGGCAGAGAGAGCCGGGGTGGAGGGCACAGCCTGAAGCTGCGTCCTCTCGTGACCAGGCTTTCCCGCCAGTTCTGGAAGGATCACACCCCACATGGTTAAGTTCTGACAAAATGCGGGCCCCAGAGCATTATCAGGTAAATGACTCCATTAAATACCCACCAGAAGTATTTGTAAGTGGACTTTGGAAACGGAAACCAGCAAAGTAAGAGCAAACGAGAAGCTATTCTCACACCACACCTTCACACACTAGATTACTACTTAGCACATGATTACAGATCATGGCATTTAACTGTAGACTGGGTTAGAGGTTACGGTATAGAGTTCTCATTTAGACTCTTGTAAGTGTATTTAGGAGTTACTTAATTCAAATTTAATTTTTTTAATTTTCGGAGTTATTCCATTAAAAATGTATTATTAAGTATATACTGTTGGTGACGCAATACCCAACAGGGCAAACTACTACTACTGAAAAGCAGAGACGCCGTCACAAAACCCACACATGCAAATGTAAAGCTGCCCTCCCCTAATCTGCAGGGCAGCGAGAGCAGCACAGGGCCGGCATGCGGTGCAGACGGAGACCCGGGTCTAACGGTAAGAGAAGCGGCGATTCACACGACTGCAGCCGGCAGGGGCGCGGCGCCCCGTGCAGGGCTGCATGCCGGGCGCGGGGAGCCCGGCCGCGGGCTGGCGGCGCTGACCACCCCAGGCCTTAAGCCCTCTTCTCCTGGGGCTTGTTTCCTGTGCATAAAACAAGTCAAGACCACCCTCGGAGGGTTGTCCTGGGGCTCCCGGGCTGCGCTGTGGGGCAGGGCCCAGCACAGGGCCTAACCCAGCGCGAGGCCCTGGCTCCTGGGAGCGGGGCCACGCTGCCGAGAGGGGCGCCCACAGCGCTGCGGGAAGACGCCCGTCAGCCGCTCGCTCTGCCGGCTGCTCTCTGATGGTGACACACGGTCGAGCCCATGAAAGGGGGCACTGTCACGCGCACCCTCAGCAACTCTGCTAAAATCAAAGAGAAAGCAGTTCTCATCAGCTCGACCTGCCAAGCCTCGCCCTGAAAGCGGAAGACAAAGAACTTCCCATGTGTCTCTGAAAGGAAGAGGGCAACTGCATCACTCCTGGATCGCATAATATTCAAATAAAAGACTCATCGCTTTGAGGGGCTACTTTGAGTTTTAAGCTCTTCCCACAGAAGAGTGAGCGTGTAAGAGCACATGCCGTGCGGTACATGAGGCAGAGGACGCCACCACCATGAAGGCCGCCTCCCAAGGCATCCAGGTCCCCGCTCCCTCCCGACGCTGAGCAACGACCGCTGGCACTGCACTGGGGCCGTCGTGCGCTCCACACGTTTGGTCATCGCGACGCAGCTTCAGCCGGGCCCCTGCAGGTGGCTGAGGTCCAGTCACCCTTCGGGGTTCACGGGGCAGCAGGAAGAGAGTACCGACATGCTGAGACAGGAGGTCAGCGCTGGACGGCCAGTGAGCCCACCTCCTCGGGGAGGCGCTGCCCCATGGGGCACGCGGCCACACTCACCACAGGAAACCCACACACAGTCAGATGCCAGCGCCGAGGACGCAGACAGACCGCCGCTCCCACAGTCACCCACTCCTCGCCCCCAGCAGAGACGCACGAGCAGGGCACAGCAGAGCAGGGCACAGCAGGAACTCAAAAGGAGGTTTAGCAAGAGGAACACAAATGATTTAAAAATAATAAACGAAAGTTTTACCTTCATCCTGGGCATGCTGTATAAACATACCAATAACCGCACTAATATTTTTCACAGCAGATGGAAACCCCTCCTTCAAACCCAATTGGCCTAAACGACCTAGAGGGAAAAACAAACCAAAACGTAAACGACCTTTGGTTAAAGGTTAACTTCTCACAGGAATTTAAAGCTTAAGTTTTCCTTCATGTAACATTAGGTACATTAAGCTCCACGATGAACCCAAGTCAAAGTGGGGACCTATGCTTGAAAACAGGTTAAGGCAAAGCGTCAGGACCCCGCAGGGCTCCGTCTGTCCCGGGCGGGGGCTTGCTGGCTACAGACTCACCACCGCTTCTGTTTTTCACACAAACAGACGACACACAGTGTGTTGCTTTCCCAGTTGTCATATAATTAATGGAATTCAGCAGAATGAATGGTTTCAGCAGGCTCAGTGTGAAACGACTAACGTCTGCTGGGTGGGGAGACGAAATGCAAGACGTGGCCCATCACAGACCGCGCTGCTGCAGCAGGGCCGACACAGCCGCCGCCCCCTGCAGGGCAGCAGCTCTCAGCTGCCTACGGACCCGCGAGCCCTTGAGGTCAGAGCTGCTCCCCCAGGATGCTCAGCAGTTACGTGCTTCCTCCCCGCGCCGAGATGTGGACTGACGGCGCGAAGGCGGCCATCAGGGCCGTGGCACCAGTGCTGCATGCGGGTCACTCTCCGCTGCCAGGAGCTCACAGTCAAAAAGCTGAGTCCACGTGGACTGTCCTTGATGAAGCAGTAACAGCGGTTCTTACTCACTCCAGACCCCCAGGCACGCGTCTGCCGTCTTCTGTGGATGGGCAGGCAGAGCAGAGCACCGGCCGTCTCCAGGTCGGCCCTGTGCGGCTGCCTCACTGCTGGGGGACTGGCTGCTCCTTCCCTGGAACACCCACTTCCACTGAAAGAACGACGGACAACATGGCTACCTAAACCGAGACAGACATTTTCTCAAAAACGAGTAGAGTGAACCTGTCATTGCAGGAAATGTATCACTGCTGTCAATGATAAAATCTGAGCTCTCAAGCAAGATTAGAATTTTGGAAAAAGTTCCATCAGCTCCCCTAAGCTTGACAGCTTCAAATACTTAAGATCTCTCTGATGAGATCGGTGAAGATGTTAACGTCTGTTCTGACATTGCTGACGTTCAGGAGATCTGTGCAAGTCAGTACTTCTCACGGGAGCAGCGCACGTTACGAGGCCCTGAGTGGGCAGAGATCTCCTCGGTGTCAGCTAGACCAGTGGGTTTTCGGACAACAAAGGAGCAAAGTCCGCCGACAAGGTTTCGGCTTGCACACCGCCACCAGCCTTTAAGAAATTATCACTTGCTGAGTTCCACTGTCGAATGGAAGAAGAACATCCACAACTGCCTGAAAAGGCTGCGGAAGTGCCCCAGATCAACTGCCCATCTGCACGAGACCGGATCCTCCTCAAATGCTTCAGTCAAAACAACGGGCAGCCAGAGACCAAAGGCGGTGCAGCAACAGGAAACCAGCCCTTCCACTCACCCAGACACTGAAGAGGCCGGCCACAAGAAAACGTTCCATTCTTCTTTTCTTTTTGCTTTCAAAATAGTTATTTTCCATTAAAAATATCAATTATGTTAACATGAGTTTATTATTATTAATTTTAAATGAATAACTATTTTTCCCAAGGCCCAGTTTTCACATCTGATACAACAATAAATGACACAGGAAACGTGGCGCACAAAGCTCTCCGGGGGTCTCAGATAGGACAGCCCCTCTCCCCTCAACCCCAGACGCCTGGGCCTTCCTTTGCCGAACAGCCCTGGGGGCCCCAGCCTGCTTCACAGCAGAAGCCTCTCCCCACCATCGCTCAAGGTCAGCCTCACGCCCTCCTGCCCCTGGGAGGACTCCGGGCAGGACTCCAGGACAGAGCCTGGGTGCAGTTTTATCCAAGTCCTCGTCCCATGCTTTAGGGCAGCCTCATCCCACAGGCCCACTGTGCGTGTCCACATTCTCAACACTACAGACCCCCCACAGGTTGACGTACACCTGTCCGTCCACCTCATCTCTGGGTTGACTATGGAGACACCGAGGCATGGGGACGCTAAAGGAATTTTAGTTCTCTGTAGCCCCTAAAGGAACGAGCTTAGTGTTAGTCAGCAGACAGCAGGCATTTCATTCAGTAAATTCCTACTGATCAGTGACTCCCTGGATAATTCCTAATCCAGGATGAAGCTGTAAACATCTGGATGATCCCCTAGGAAGTCTTGCACTGAGGTTGAAAAGAAATGTGTTTCAGAGATCAGAAATTTCAAGGTACTGATCACTCTTAAGTAACTCCCTGCCATTAGATCAAAGTGCTAACTGCATGCCACCAGACCTGTCATCTGAGACCATCTGTTAGGAGTATTCAGCACATGACTAACTGCAGGGAAAGGCACAGGGCGTATGCCTAACGCAGCTACGGGATCACTGGGCCGTGGGAAACGCACGTGCTTCCAGATGATGTATGACTGTGTGATGGCTCCCTTCCTTTTAATTAAAAATGCTTAATGGATTAGGTTCTGTAAGCTATCTAAGTTAACAGAGCTATCAGAGATAAAATAAGAGGAAATCACGAATCTGAAACAGTACATGGTTTGGGTAAAAAGACAAATATGTTGGGAAGAGCAGTCCCCCTCCAGGAGGAGAGTGAGTGAGTCCAGGGCAGCTCAGCCACATGACAGCTCAAATGAGAAACCCGGAGCCAACCTCAGTGTCAAGCACAACACACTCCACACTCAGGAGGGCTGGGGAGGGAGGCTGGGAGATTAAAATATTCAAATAATTAAAACACTTAAGGGACTTAAACATTTAGAACACTTTTAAGCAACGATTTCAGTTCTTGTATGTTCAGCTTAGAAAATACGAAACAACAGGAGACTCGTTTCCAGTTGTGAAAGTGCAGCTGTGTTATCCTTACTGAGCAAGTAGGAAGGAGCCAGGAAAGATACCCTTACTTGATAAGTCGAATTAGACTATAATGTAACTTACAGCAGTTTATGGACCCTGGTGTGTATATGCAAGTGTGTGCATGCATGCGCATTAAAACTAATATCTGAGAATCAAGAGTTCGACTATCAGTAAAATGCTCTAACATCAAAAATCTTAATCCATGGCAGAGTCAGTAAAACACTGATTTTTAAAGAAAGAATACGAGTGATGAAAGTGAACTTAGTGCAAAAGCACCTACTGTGACGGCTGTAAAATCAGCTACCACAGTTAAGTCTCAGTCACCAGATATTACTACACACTTATCCTTCCACCAAGACATCGTCAAGAACGAGAACAAATGTAACAGCACAGACCACTCACCAATGAGCCTCAGGATCGATGCTATTATAATGTCCGGAGTGTAGGCGATGTTTGCATGGCCTTTCCTGTACTTTATCCACTTGTCCATCACAGGCCACAGCTCCTTACTGTAAGACAACAGTAACACACACACATGTACGTGTGCACGTGTGTGAAAGTCTGCACACCCGCCAACACTCAAAACACCGAGAGCTTATCTTAAAAATGGTCCATAAGAGACACACCATTAGGGAAGAGGAGGAACTTCTGCAGATGTGGCTTCTCAGGTTAACACGACAACAGACACTGGAGCTCACACACCCTCCAGCTGTGGAGGGTCCCCGTGCCCACGATGGCTGGAAAGAGGCTACAGACTCCCATGCTTGCACTTTTATTCTGTTTTAACTGTTACAACGCTTTGCGCTGAGATGCTGAATAACGTCCCCAAGTCCCAGCACTGGAGGTGGACCATCCACACTAATGCAGAAGCTGAGACTCCCTGGGAGGCTCAGGGACAAACAGCTGTATCTGTAGGAAGAACTAAACCGGGGAGTGAACCACACCTACGCAGATTAAAGACACCTTCTACTGACTGGGAACAGTGGCAGTTCCTCTGTTTTGTCTTTCCAAAAATAATACGTACTAACTTCTCATACAGTATTTATAATAGTAGAAAAGTTAAATACAAACAAAAATGTAAATTAACAGCACTCCAAATAACACATTCTCAGATAACTACCACTCTTCTAATTTTGAGCTTTTCTTGCCACATCCTTGGTGTGTGCACGTGTGCGGAAGACATGGTCAAAGTGACCACAGTGCTTAGGAATCAGAGTCTAGAGTCGCTTAGGCAGAGATCCTGAGATTCAACACTGTCCATACCACCAGCAGAGGGACCTTGGCCAAAGCATCTCTGACTGGCACCATCCCCCATGGTCTCATCTGTCACTGGGACGGAAGGGCCGCTGTCTCCTGTGCTCCCAGGAAGATGAGGCCAGGGTGGCCACCCACACACCATGGCACAGACAGCACTGAACACACTGTCCTGTCACTTCCTCAGCAACAGACTGCAAAACGCTTTCATGTCAACACAGAAAAATCTGTGCATAGCTATTTATTCTAACATGGCTGCATCTCATTATAAAGATGCTCCATAATTCAATTACTTTTTATTTGACATTTAGCTGTATCATTCTCTAGTGTTGAGAGAAAAAAAAAAGAGAAAGAACAGATTTCCACAGAATATATTTGGCAGGCATCTCAAAGACAGAGACGTGCAATCCTTCGGTGAATCCTTTTCAAAGTCATAAATTCCTTTAAATCAGCCCTTCTCAGTCAAGGGTGTAAGAAAATTAAGAACTCCAGAACATTGTTTGACTATTTCTCCATTCTCCAAAGATGCGACCCAGATAGATGCCGCAGACACGTCCATTCATTCCTAAGACGGAGGCCCGAGCGCGTCAGGCTCGGTTCTCTCCCAGAGCCCCAGGGAGAAGGGCGGCCAGCCCAGAGTCTGAGTATTTCCGTTCCTGTGGGCTCTTCCAGAGCATCTGCACGTTGAGATATGCCGACCACCCACTTGTGTGGGCGCTGCTCCCTCCACACGCTAGGGGGGGTGCCAGTGAGCCCGAGTCCCTCCCGCCTGAGACTCACTTCCTCCTTGGGATATGGTAATAACTGGTATGACGAAAAGCAGCGAAGGCATCACGAAAAAAATGAAGCAAGGGGACGGGACACTGACGCGGGTACCCTAAAGGGCAGTTCTGTTAACTCTCACCCAAATGAAAACGTCACCTGGAAATGTTTCAGCCGCCTTCAACAGTAAACACATTCAAACCACAACTCAGCTGTCACTGAACAGACCCTGCAGCCCAGGGAGCCCCACTGCCAGCCAGCCCGGTGGCCCTGCACCTTATGATGTTGTCGTGGGTCCAGATCCACTTCTGATGGCAGCAGAGCAGGTCGATGGCACAGATGTACTCCCATGTGTTATCACTCAGGTCTTCCCCAAACCGCTCACTGGTCTGAAATTCCGTCTTTGGACATAACTGTATGGTCAAAAGCAGCTTCGAAACCATGATGCCAACATCTATAGGCGCATTCTAGCAAAGAAAAAAAAGAGAAAAAGAAAACGTAGAGTTTCAAATATAACATACCTTATGGGCATCATCTCAGAGTATGACGAGCACTCGCTGAATAATCATTTACCTTTAAAAGACACCTTTTGAAAGCTGTGTTGAGTAAGGAGCTATGTTTACCTTGGTTCTAATACCTGGCCTGGCAGCTGACAGGCCAAACAAAAACGGTCCAGCAGAATGCAGAATCCAGTCACGTACAGAAGACACTGCAATCCAGATAGGAATGCAGACCCCCTTTAACTCAGATCAGAGAATGAGAGTTATAAAGTTAAGACATAATAAAAAATTTCTTAATTTTTAAAGAAATTTTAAAATTCATTCTGTCATCTTTCTAACCCTAGATATCAATCTGCTTTTTCCAGAAACTGACAAAAGTGCATCGACGGTGCGGGACTCCCTCGTCTGGCTTCCTTCGTGCGTGTGCACGCTCTCCGACACGGCTCCACGCGCCTGCACGCACAGGCGGTCTGAACGTGCCTTCTGACTGCTGGGTAGCAGCCCACCAGGCGGGCGTGCCGCGGTGCGCCTGCGCACTCAGTGCTGACAGTCGTCTGGGTTACCTCCAGCTTTAGGCTGTAATGAGTGCTGCTGCTGTGAACACTCATGGATAAGCCTTCTGGTGGACATAAATCTGACTTCCCCTGGGTCCCCTTTTTTCTCATGTTATTTTTTACTGGGTTTTGTTATTAAAAATGAAGACAGCTTTCAATCTTCTCTTACAATCTGAAAAAGACTGGAATTAGTTGGTTCTTTAAAGATTAGATAAAATTCAGGTGGAACCTATACATATGTCTTGTATACTAAATTTTTTATCATCTTTTCTACTTTTTATAATTGAAAACAACTGGTTTATTCAAGTGCTCTGCCCCTAAAACCAGCCTTCATCATTTTTATGTTGCTAAGAAATCATCCTGAGTTCCCACGTCTGTCGCTATGAAGCTGCAGGCAGCAGTCCTCTCATTCTCCCTCCTGTGCCCACTTACACCCGCTCTCACTGCGAAACCCTGACTATTATTGTTTTCCTCTTTTCTCATTAATCTGAACTGAGTTACCTGTTTCACTAGTACTTTTTAAAGGCAGTTTTTTTTTTGTTTTCTACTTCATTACTATTACCTTTTAAACTATATTCTTTTTTCCTAGATTCCTTCTCAAATTTTTAATCTATAAGATGATTATCAGCCAACTTTATTATATGTTTAATAATGGAAACATTTAAACTATTTTAATGAATGTAAAGTTTTCCAAAAACGAGAGATCTTTGGTATGAAGGGTTTTCCACATCAATGACTTAAAAAATTGATTTTACTCTTCAGTTTCTCTTCATTCACAGATTGTCTGAGACTGTGCATCTCAATTTCCAGGGAATTTTAATGAAATCTTTTCATTACTTATGTCTAATTTTACTGAATTTTTACCAATTTACTAAGAGAATTTTGAGGGTAGACTCTTCACTTTTTAAATTTATTAAGGTTTTTGTGTGGCCAGAATCATGATTGGTCTTTGTAAATGCCATAGACATATGAAAGAATATAGCCTTCATTCAAGTTTACTTTCTATATGATTGAATTCCACTGTCTGTTGACTTATTTTTGTCTAGGACATCTGTTGAATTCTATAAAAGAGAACTGAACTATAACGGTATTTTCCCCCAAATATTCCTCATTGTTTTTACAGCTTTAACTTTATATTTTTATTTGATATAGGCTAAATACATTTATTAAAATTCTACCTTCTTCATAAATCATGTCTTTTATCATCAAATCACATCTGGCTTCATTCTGAACGGGCCACAGGAGATGGCTCCCCTGCACAAGCAGGAGGACCAGGCAGGGGCAGAAGCGGCCCTGCAGGTCCCCTCGCGGTGGGGGAGGGTGTGTGTGGTGGCAGGTGGCCGCCGGCAGGACACAGGAGTGTTCTTCTAAGTGACTGACTGGACTGTGATGGAACCTCACACAGACACACTCTGGTTTGTCCAGATGGACTGATGAAGAGATTACAAACTTGCTTTTTAACATTCCCCTAACTTCTGTCCACCAATAGCCCTTTGCTTTTCTTTTCGTAAGAAAATAAAAGTCTAATGAATATTAAACATCAAAAAGTACTAAAGGGAAGCAAACTGGCATATGAAATTCTACAATACGCATGGCCAGAGTTTTTTTTAAAAGAGGGAAGTCATACAATCACTAGAAAAGGGTAGAACAAAATGAAAGTCAACCCCTTACTGACGTCAGTACCTCTTCTTAAAGTTTACCACTATCCACCTGGCATCCAGAGACTCTCGCTGGAGAAATCTATGAATGAAAGAACACCAGTCTAGGTACTAAATTAGCACCTCTGTTACTAAACAAATCAAAATGCTAAAAGGAAACAAGAAACACAGTATTTAGAACAAAGACAAGTTCCACCAACTGGAAAGAAAAACACAGAACATTAGACTCAGAAAAATCACAACAGGGAGGAGCTGAGATGCCATTTTTTTCACCTTCCTACCTACTGTAGAAGCAGACGATTTACATCTCCTCTCAGCCCACACATACACACTTGTGTGTATGGATTCCATTAGCCGTAAGTAGTACACAAACAAGCTCTGTTCAGTTAACACAGTACACAGGTCTACAATTCTTCCCAAAGAGTCTCATGCACAGTTAATGAACAAAATGCATAAGCTTAGACTAAAATGGCATTTTAAAGGATCTATTATGAAGAACACTATCTCTAAAACGCTCATGAGCTAACACAAGACTAAACTTACAAAACTAAATGCTAACATTTACGTGAGCCCTGCAAGTGCAGTATTACAGAAAGCAAACAGAAACCTCACCTTTTCCCAGTTGAGGAAGGCTCGCAAGCAGTTCAGAACCTCCCCCTTTGCGCGCTGCCTGGCCACTAACTGCATCGCCTTGTTGATCACCGACTGAGAGATAAACACATCATGCCACATGTTCGCGATGAACAAAGTCAGTTTTTCAGACTCTGGAAAATCTGAGAAGGAAAACAAGATAATAAACCTTTATGTCTGATGAGGTGAGTGAAGTATGAACAATTTCCCCCTGTGTGATGCGAGGGGACCCACCCTGACAGGAGGCAGCAGGCTGAGTCCCGCCCTGTCGTTTTAAATCTGCTTCTCCCCAACCCCAACTCACCCTTTCCTTTGGGCAAACTTTCTTTAATCAGATTTGAAACACAACACGCGAGTATACATGAAAAGAGCAATAAACCCCAAAGCAGAAGAGAAGACAAACCTCCCGTCTCTAGACCCCCGAGCCCAGGACCCTCCAGGTGGTGAGTGTCATTTCAGGCTGGGTTTTGTGCATTTACCACAGAGCTCACTGGAAGACTGAAGAAACAGCAGGGAAAGGAAGAGCATCAAAGGACAGCCTCCCTTCCATTTCTCCTCGCAACTCTTCATGAGCTTATGAATCCAACTGAGTTTTTCCCTTTCCAGTTGGTGACACAGCAGAGTGGTCTGTCACTTAAAAACCGTTCCCTTATCTTGGGTCAGCCGTCACTGACTCTAAAGCAGCTGCAGAAGGAACGAAGCCAGAGCGGCAACGAGAGGGACGCGCACACACCCGCGGGAACGCCTGCGCGGACGTGAGCGAGCTGCAGCCACGGAAACTCCTGCTGGAAACCAGGCCCAGCTGGGTTTGTGGCTAAGGCTCTTCTGGCAAATGCACAAAACAACACGACTGTAAAACACACAGCAATAACTTAACCAGAAGTACAGATGCAGACAAAAACGCAGTAATACATTCCTGACGCAAGCACGCCACCCTGTAAACATACCCTCCTTGAGCAGGCTGTAGCAAAACAAGCGCGCCCTCTCCAAGTCCCCCAGCTGCCGGCAGATGCCCACGTACACCCTGCAGAGGGCGTGGATGTAGCTGTGCTCCACGGAAGTCTTCTGAGTTTTCAGTTCTGAGAGAATAGAGTGAAGCAAGCACTCTGCTAAATGCTGGATGGGGAAAAAGAAGAGAAAATGAAAAAGCAATGCTCACTGGTATTTATCTTCAACCTACTGAAGAACAGCTAAGTTACAAACTCAAGTGCCTTTGGCCCCAGGGTATGAGCGGGCCCCAGCCCGCAGCTGCCGAGGCCAGTGGTGCCACGGGGCCCAGACGGCAGCTCCATGCACACCTGGTGGCGCCCGGGCACCACCGCCGCTCCAACACATGACAACTTCTTGGTTTTCACTGAAATAATCTGTGTGTGAGTGTGTGCGTTAAACCCACTCTAATTCTACTCCCATTCCTGTCTTCTGAACTCTAATGTACTCTGTGCATTTATCCTGTTTAGATCTTAAAATACTGGGTATACTGGGTAGCGCTTTCCTTGCTCAGGAAAAGGAGCATTAAATAATTTCATACATGCAGTCATTTGAAAATAAACATCTTTTCAAAGTTAACTGTACTGCTCTCTATGCTTTCTGAAGGTAAGTATTCTAAGAAAAATAAGTATTTACACCATCGTGATTCCAAGGATGCACAGACAGCCAATAAAGTAAAATTCATGGAACGCTGGAAGTCTTCCACAGTATCAACTTGAATGTCTGGAAATTAAAAACCTACGAAAGTCCTAATAAACCGTGTATGTAAATCTGCACAATCCTCCCCAACCCCTTTTTGAAACTAGACATCTGCTCCTGTTTTGATTTGTGACACACATTAAGGGAGGGAGGGGGGAAACCCACACAATAAATTTTTCTGACTCTCAAAACTCTCAGATGTGTGGACAACACTCTTCACAGAAAAGAAGGCTCCACTGCATAGCAATCTGACACCTCGAAGCAAATCACTGAGCCTTTAAACACGCCGGGATCGATGGGAGATCTGCATCTTAAGTCCTGATGCTTTTTTTTTCCTTTAAAATTTTAAGTTATCTGACGAACGCACATTATCAAATCTCCAATGTCCTATCACTTCTCAAATGGATACAACGCTGGCGAGAAATATATGTTTACATGGCCAGCTGCCCACCTCTGAGATTAAACTTGTGTCAGCTTAAACTTGCCACTCCGCCCGCGGGAAACAGCCTGTTGTCTGGGGACCTGCAGTCCCCACGCTCTCAGAGAAAAGCAGCCACGTACCTTTTTGGTTGTGCTGAATTCATAAACAACGTCCTTCTCTTGATCTCTCATCACAGGCTTTTTGGAGATGTTCCCCACATACACATGACTGCGAATGACAGGTAGCAGGTCAAAGGACGACTCTGCAATCTTCCTCAGGGCGTCGGCTATGGCTCGGTCGTGGGACTCCACGGTTTCTTTGGGGTTCAGAGGCACCTGTGAAGCCGTACTGGCGGCCGGGAGAGAACTCTCCTCCTCTGTCCTCACAGCTTCAGCCTGAGAGAGGTCCTTTCGGGGGTCCCCGTTGACTCCTTCTGCGGTGGGTTCCGGTTCGGGGGACACGCCATCCAGGCGCAGCCTTTTAGCGCTTCTCAGCGAGGGCGCCGACAGAGTCCTCTTCCCGCCGGAATCCTGTCCTACGTCCCTCGGCTGACCGTGCTTACAGTCAGTTCCAGCGCTGCCCCCTGTTTTAACAAAGGCGGTTGCGGCAGAAGTGATCGCTTTGAAGCCGGCGATGGCGCTGACAGGCCCGGGGCCGCTCCTGCCGTCGGCCGGGGGCCCCCGAGCAAGCTGGACGTTCCCCTTGAGGATGCTGAGGGTGCGGGCGCGGGCGGACAGCTCTGGGTACATGGTGTCCAGGATCTTCACGGAGTTCTCCGGGGGCGCTGCCACCGCAGGGTGGGCAGGTGCGAAGGCAGGGAGGCGACCAGGCACGGGGAGGGCGTGCTTTGGGGTCGCAGCACAAAACTGCAGAGGAGATGACAAGACCCTCTCGCTGGCCGGTGCAGTGGACGGGGACGGGGACGTGCGGGGAGGAGAGAGGCGCCCTGGCTCCTCCGGCAAGAGGGGACATCACAGGAGGCACTGGGATCTCAGCCAGGGGAGAGGCCTGGCCGGCAGGAGAGAGGGGAGAGGAAGGGCTGGAGCTTGAAATCAGTGGGGAGGCCGGCAGTGAGGCCCTTGGAGGCGTGGCTATCAGAGGAGCAAGCAAGGGGGGCAGGGGAGGCCCCACCTCCTGCCGTATTTTACTCAGCGTCTCAGCACCGCAGTCCGCGGGCGTGGAGGTGTCAGCGTTGGCCAGAATGGTCTGCGTCTGACTCCTCGGAGCCTTTGCGTTGCCTCTTTCCCCTGAAAGTGGTGGAGCATCTTCACTTTGAGTAGTTTCAACCCGGCTTGATGCTGAAGTCTTCACTGGTTTGTTTGACTGATCTTTGTTAGAAACCTTTGATCGATTCTTATTTTTGCTGAATGGCTCTAGTTTCGAGTTATAGTAAGTGTGATCAGACTGAACGGTCTGAGAGTCAAAGTTTTGATCGTATATCTCAGAGCTAATCCTTACGCTAGGTTTAACAGGTCTATTCCGCAAACGACTTTTATCAAAGTTAGTATTCTGCCCACTGCTTGAAATGTCCTCCTGGGTACCCGGCACGTGACTGCCACCCTGGAGCTCCGGAAAGGGAGGGCCAGGGTGCCCGGTCTCGGGGGACTGCTCCGCAGAAGGAACTGAAATGAAGCCAGCCCCCTGCCCCTCTGGATCCGGGGAGACAGGGGCGTCTTCAAGAGCATCACACAGTATAACCTGGTCCACATTCGGCATGAGAGCCACACTATTGATGATGGTCCAGTTGTCCCCCTTTTCAATGACGAGGTTGTGATCCTTATTTATCAGCACGTTGATAATTTCGGAGGTCACCGTAGAGATCTGACACTGAAACGCCGCTTCCCCTTCCCCCGCTCCGGAGTCAGCGCACAGGAGCAGGGGGTCTGCGGGTTCCAGCGGGACCTCCTCTCCGCCGTCTACAGACCTGATCACATCCAAGTGGCCCTCGGATCTGCCTCGGGTGTTTTCGTGGTCAGCTCCGCCACTGGTGGGAGAAGGGACCGAGGAGTCAGAGCCGGCCCCTGGTGGGGGCACAGCTGAAGGCTGTGGGGACAAGCTGGCGGTTTCCTGAGGCGGAACCGGCTCTTCCGCATGCTCGGCTGTCACGCTGTCATGCACATTTAAGAGCAGCACCTCAGCAGCGTCTCCCTCGTCAGCATCCTCGCAGGGAGTCCGCAGCTCCCGCCCCATCCTAGTGAGCACTTCGGACAGCGTCTCCAAGGAGCACTGCGCCAGCCGACTGGGGCTCCTCAAAGGACCGTCCTCCTCCTCGGATTCGACCCACTCCTCAGAAGTCTCGAGCGTTTCTTCTTCACAGAGTTGCTTTCCGTACATGTCTCCTGATGGTTCGCTTTGCTTTAATTCCTTGTTCACTCCTTTATTTCGGGTTCCTTTGCTAGAACATTCTGAAACAGAGTCCCCTGAACTATAATCTCTTAGCTGACAACTTTCAAGAAACATCACGACCTCTGACGTGGAAAGTCTGTCCATCTCAGAAAGAGCGCTGATGTTAAAGTCTCGCAGAGCTGAGGTCAGATAGCCCACCTCCGTGGAAGGTCTGGGCGCGGCCGCAGCGGCCCCCGGAGCTGCTAACTCTGGCCGCCCCTGCTCCACCGCGGCCTCAGGCTCATTCTCGCCCTCACTGCAGCTGGGCGCCTCACTCTCCTCCACCTCAGTGTCGCCACCTGCCACCTCCCGGATGCCCGTGTAACAGCACAGGGTACCAGGAAGGCTGCTCTGGGGGACAGAGCATTTCTCTTCACCTCTCCTGCCCAATACTGGGGAAAAAACAGGATCTGCGGTGCCCACCCCATCAGGAGAAGCACCACCAGGGGTCTGAGCTGGCAGACGCTCCTGCGGGCAGTGCTGCACAGCAGGCGGGTCCTTTGAGATGGCCGGGGCCTCCCCGCCAGACCTGACTGCGTCTCCGGTGGGTATTTCTCCACCAGGAAAAGCTCTTGATAGTGTCACCTCTGCGGCTGGAATTTTCTCCACATCCAACCTGGATGAGTCCACACTAGGGGCAGGAAGACGCGGACTCTGCTTCTGCACCTCCTCCTGCCCCCTGGCTTCCGTCACCATGTCTTGGTTTGGGACCGGGATGTTTTCAGAAGTGAAAGATAATTTACTATTTGCGGGACAACAAGGATTTTCTACTGGTAAAGAACCACTCAGAGAATTAAAATCTAATTTCCTCAAGGAGGTGGAAACGCCTGGTGAGGTCCTCTCTGCAGCAGCTGCCTCCCTGCTTTCCTGTGCTGTGGGCTCACTCCCTCCGCGTCGTGCTCGGGGTGACACACGACCAGCCCCACCAGTAGCATCTGCTGCCAGGGGAGGCTCCGTCCGAGCTGGTCTCGTGGGCTCCCATCCAGCATTCTGCGTGGTCTCAGGCCGTGTCTGCTTTGTGATTACTGACACCTGGTTCGGCAACAAGGGCGCTGTGGCCCTGAATGCCACAGGACTGTGACCCTCTCCAGTGCGTTCCGGCTCGGACGCCGACGCCCTGTTCTCTGGGGGGGACACCACCTCCTGTAACTGACGTCTGGCCTGTTCACGTTCAGGCGAAGCACTCAGTCTTTCTGCACCACTTCGCCGTAACAGATCGTTGTGGCGCCACGAAGTGTTTTTAACGAAGCCGAAGCCACTCCCCATCGAGCCAGACTGAAGTCCTGCCAACGACGTCAAATCTGACCGACTCGGCGTGAGCGCGGCCCTTGGACTTCGACTCTCACACAGCCCGCCTCTCACGGCTCCCATGAATCCCAGCTGAGGAAGGGAGCAGACTTCGTTCGTGCCTTTTAAGAGGGTCGCACATCCTACCTCATCGCTCCTTTGGCCGTGAAAATCAGGTGCCCGCGACACCGGACTGAAAGCTCGGAAGCTGTTCTCCAGAGCGCCGTCTCCTCCAGGATGCTCCGAGGGCTCAGGACGCACCTGGAACGTGTTTGACGTGGCGGCCTGTAATCTTTGTTCAGACGGACGCAGCTCGGGAAGGTCCACCTCAGTGGGAAGACAGGTGTCATCGACATCCTCCAAATCACAGGGAGACCCGAGGTGACCACAGAGAGACGAGGCTATCGAGGCCGAAGAGGAAGACACCTCGTCTTCGACACCGAGCCCCGCTGCCAGCAGCGCGGCCCCCGCCGCCCCGGGCGCAGGGGCGGCTCCTGAGACGAGCCCTCGCAGGCCTTCTCTCTGCTCCTCCAGTCCTCTACACAGGCCCTGAGGACGGCCAGAGACTGACAGGCGGCCGGGCTGAGAAGGGACTCCATCCGCCAGCGTCCACTTGGCCCACCCGGGCGTGGGTGACCCTAGCACTCTGGGCCCCAGGGTGTTTCCTTCAGATGCATTGGGCTCATTCCACAGCCTCGAGCCAAGCGGAGAACGACGCAGGCCTGCCGTCCCGAGCGCCGCTCCCTCCTCTCGAGCCAGGCTGCCCAAAAGCCTCTCCACACGCTCGCTGCCCGGGGGGTTATGGCGGGTCTTCTCTGGGTGCACCGACCAGTCCATCTCCCGACCCTCTCTCTGCCTCGTCACCTCACCTAAAACGCCCCTTCCTCTATGGCTCATGAACTCGGGTGACATGGCCCAGCGCTCCTCACGAGCGAAGGAGACGGTGGCTGAAGGCTCTCCCAGGGTTGCTGTAAATGTCCCAAGCCCGACAGCGGTCACTTCACTGACTTCCAGTGCATTTGGAGCTTGGGTGGCTTCGTGTGATCTGAGTCTTTCCTCCCATGGCCCACTTCCTTTACTTTTTCCAGGTGAGTTAAAAGAATCCCGTGATTCAGGTGCATCATCTTCTGAAACGGACTCAGCAGAAACTCTATGTGGGGCCAAGTCATTGTCACTGGAATCTGTACACTCTTCAAAGTAGGCTTCCTTAAAAATAAATGAATTATACTAGTTAGTCAGTTATATACTAATTCAACCAACTAAACATAACTATCAATTAAATGCATTTTTTAAAAAAAGTACACGCTTCCTGAAGGGTCTGAGGCAAGGGTGGTCTGCACCCTGGCCTCGGAGGGGCAGGGAGGTCTCGTGGGGCACAGCGCTGCTTCGCTGCCACTCACGGAAGCCGCCGCTGCCCAGAGGCCCATGTTCGCCCTGCTTTTCCCGTATCAGTGACGCTTCCCAGCTCCACTCCACATGCGGCCGTGGGCTACCTTTGTTCTCCTGACTTCTAAACAGTCCTTCTCAACTCTGACTTCTTCATTCTCTGGTAAAATGGCTTTTGGCTCTAGCTGCCCAGCCCCGTGTTCCTCCACTTTCCCGAGCGTCTGGCCCGTGGCCAGAGCAGCAGCTCCCCGGCACTGAGCCCAGCCACGGCTCTGCATCCCGGCTCTGCGGTCACCCCGTGGATGTCTCTTGCCTCGTTCCCTCACAGCAACAGCTGCACCCCAGCTGTTATCAACAGACATGCACAGCCCGGCTCCCCGTCTCTGCTCCAGGAACCCTCCATGACCCCCAACCAGCCCCTCCCATCTTAAGTGAACCCCTCGTCACGCGGCCCCTGGGAGAGCCAATCCGTGCACCACCCTGCCCCGTTCTAGCAGGGAAACAGCGGGCGGGGGGAGTAAGGACCGTGGACACAGACTGACTCCTACTGGGAAAACGTTTTCCTCCCTTGGGTTCCAGAGCATCATCACCTCCTGGTTCCTCTACTGTCCTGACGCTGTTTTCAACCTCTTTTCCTCTTCCTCTTTTTCTAATCAGCCATGTAGGCACTGACAGCTCCCCAGGATTCTGTCTAGGACCCTACTCTCTTCTTCTACACATTCGGATGGAATGACATCACACTCTCCCATGGCTCCCGCTGCACCCCCAGCGTCTGTGCCCACCGCAGCCCACCTGCAAGCACCATGCCTGAGGATGGGAAACGCACCCTGCACGTGAACCACTGGAAATCCCGCACACACCTAACGCCTGAGGTTTCCTATGTCATCCTCCTCCCAAGCGGGTTCTTCCCGTAACTCTAGTTTCCAACATCCTTGATGCCCTGTGTCCTCTAACAATCACACTACAAATCCTAACAGACATGCTGTTTATTCAACCTCATAACCTTTTCCAAGCCAGCCCCTACCTCCTTAACCCCAACGCTACTACTGGGTTCAGGTGTCGAGAGAAGGAAACTGTTGATTAAACGATTTCCTGGCTCCAATCTTGCCTCCTTCTCCACTATCCTCATTCCCTACCCACTCATGCTGGGACACCCAGGACTTCAAAGTGAAACTCTAGCATTAGGCCCACTTCTTTGGATCCATCGGGAGTTCCCACTGCTTTAGGGTAAAATGAAAGTTCTCAGACACACGTGCCCTGGGGACCTGGTCTGCCTGATCATTCCCCAGCATGAGGTTCGCTCCTCCACCTGAAGCACCTCCGCCTTCCTTAATCCCCCAGCTGGGATGCGAGCTCCCTGAGCATCTCCCAGCCCCGCTCCACCCAGCCTCTGTCCAGGTCCTTCCCAGCAGGTACACATCTTGGCACCACAGTGCTCCCCAACAGTCCCACCACCACACAAGATCCAACCACAGACAGCCGTATCCTATGTCACCTCTGCACTCCCCGGGCCTAGCACCATGTCTAGAACGGAACAGGCTCGCGTCATGCTTCCTGAATGAAGGGATTCAAAGGCGTCCGATCTGCTCCTTAGCCAAAAAACATACAAATATGCTCTGTCAAGTCTGACTTACTAAGAAATTATAATAAACCACCTGCAAACACAAAAACATGACGAATTCATCACATGAAGGTGGGGAATCAGTGACAGAAGTTAACAGGCCTGTGCGCTATATACATGGAGTTCCTATCTCTAAAAATACTTGTTTCATTCACTCGTTCCGTATCTGTTCTGTGCCAGGCACTAAAGATAAAAGTAAACAGTTGAGAAACAGTCCTCCCACAAGAGGCTTATGAACCACTGTAGATAAAGACAAATACAGATGCACCGCGATGCAAAATGGAAAGCCTCACAAACGTGGGCCCGGAGGGCGCGGCATGCCTTGTTAGCGCCCGGGTTCCTCCCTAACTCAGTCTGCTCTGAGCACCATGGCCGTTCCTCGAGCACAGCGGACACAGACAATGTGGCCACTTGGTCATGCGAATCTAAAGCGCCAACTCACGGACACGAGCGAAGTACGCAGGGCACCCGGGTGTGGTGACACCAAAGGGGGTGATGGCACCGGAGACAGAAGAGGAGGGGGGAGCTTGAAGAAGTCAACTGCGGCCTGCAGATCCTCATCAAAGCATCGGTCGTGATCAGGAACGTCAGCAGAGCTATCATTCCTCTGCGGCAAGGCCCCTGGATTGCGGTCCTCTTTGAAACCACCGCCGTCCCGGGACGCGGCCCCACCTGGCTCCTCACGCGGGGGGAAGCGGCCTTCTACCTCCATGGACAGCTCCGCCAGGCAAGTCTGCACGGCAGAGGTGCCGAGAGGGCCAGCCCCTGCAGGAGGGGGCGCACCGTCTCCCCCAGGCTCGATGGCTCTGGGGTTTCCTATGGCAGATTTTTCTGTGGGGAAAAAAGTGAGTATCAAATTATTTACAATATCGAGAAAACCTAAAAAAAAAAAACTACCTTATTCTAACAGTTAAAAATGCTTGCAATATTAAGTCCAAGTAGTAATGTTTTTAAAAGGCAACCAATCCCTACCCAAAGATTATCCTCTAAGACCTGAATACGTTCCACCTAAGTGTGCCTCCCCCACGACAAGCCCGCGAGCAGGCAGGCGGAGGGACGGAGGCGGCGCCCGCGCCCCGTCAGCAGCGGGGGCGCAGGTGGAGTGGCCTCCATCGCAGCCGGTAACGGGCCTCAAGGACGCGCTCATTCTCTTCGGGCATCTTCCCGCCCAGCCAGGCGTGTTCGGGAGGAGTGGCTCTCTGCACGAGTGTGGACAGGGAACGCTGCTGTCTCTGTGTAAAATCCACTTGTATCACACCTGCCCGTGACCGTATTTGTGCAGTTCTCTAACTAAGGGACTTGACTAGGCCACCCAAATGCTCTGCATTAAAGCGTAGCGGGAAGATCACCAAAAACCCTTTGGGTTTTGATTTTGGTAAACTGCAGCAGTGCTAACTGCTAGCAAAAACACCATGTCCTGGGAAATAACCAGAAATAACCATTTGTCGTATCTGAAAGCTGTAAAAACACATTTCACAGAAGAACTCAGGGCTCCTTGGAGAAGTGGCTGATCACAGAACTGGGGAGGGGAAGACACAAGCTGAGCCTGAAACACCCTGCAGGACCAGGGGGTAAAGAAGCCCGAACAGACGGAAACGCAGGAAGACCCAGGAGCCAAAGAGCCAAACTGAAGACGCTCCCACTAACCAAGTCTGGTACAATCTGAATAATGAAATAACGTATAAGTACTGAATTACAACGTTTAGAATAAAACAGGTATCTGTAAGACTACACTGACAGAAATAAGAGAATGAATCAACAAATGGTGAAAAAGTACAGCTCTTCCTCACAGAGCTCCAACTGCCACGTAGGAGGGAAACGTAAAAACCAGTATTAGACAAAGCAGCAGGCGTAGCAGACAGGATGCATCCACAGGCGACAAAATCGGAGGGCTCGAGCCGGGGAGAAACAACATCTGCCGTGTCGAAGAATCTCCCTCAAGATAGTTAATCGACCAATAAGGAAGAGTAACTGCCCATCGGAGAAACCTGGCCAACACCAGCTTAAACAGTCAGTCAAGGTTAACACCCCCAGCGGTAACACACAGACACATCCCTTCCCCGGTATCCCGCTGGGGAACTCTGGCCAACTACACAGACTCACTCGAACACGAGAAAACATCAGCTAAGCAAACAGGCTTTCTACCAAATGACTCGTATTCTCCAAAAGCGCCGAAGACCTGAGACAAGGAAAGACTGATGACCCGCCAGACCTGGGGTTGGGGGAAGGAAATGAAGAATGACCACTAAATGCAAAGTGGGTCCTGGGATGGGAAACGACACACGCGGCTCTACACACACCTGCCATATATGCCCCCCCCAGGTGTCCTTCTGGATCCCATAAATGTTCCCTGATGAAAGCTACTATTAAATTAAAAACCAAATACATTCACTGAGCCTGGAAGTCATGCTGAAGGAAACAGAGCTTTGTATGGTTAAAAGTACATCCTAGTTTATCTCAGTCTTTCAATGCAAGATTCAAGAGATGTGAAAAACTAAAGGCATACAGTGCCCACGGTAAACATTCCTACTGCATGTATGAAATGTCCTTCCAGAAGCTTCTCTCTCACCTGGGACACATCCTCTGCCTTCACCAGGTAGTCTGCGTGTTGTGTTTACACAGAGCCAGAGTTCCTTCAGAAGCAGTTTTACTTTTCCTGCGAAAGAGTAAAATAGTAAAGTCATGTCATTTGGCCATTCTATACAAGGCCAAAACTACTCTGGTGAAATCAGGATTTATTAGGAATTTAGAATACTAGGTGACTTAAACATCTTTCCCAAATTCAACCCTTGCAGACAATTTGGTTAAGCTACTGATGGAAAGGTCTACTGATTGAAGGCTGAACACAAGCTTGGGTCTTCTACTGGGGGCGGGTGAAGGGGCGGTGCAGACAGCATTAGGACTCAGAAGAGCTAATCTATTTGTTGCTAGAAGCTTTGATCACCTTTAAGTATGCACGGGATAGGTAAGTTTCTGGTCTACGTACGTTCTACAGTGACATGAAATCTGGGGGTGGGGAGAAGCACAGGGGTAACGACGAATGTGAGAGATTCCAGAGCGGCAGAGAGGTTTTCCCTCAGTCCCAGGAGGTTACCAGAAAGCTGTAATTAACCTAGGGGCTTCACCGATCTTGGAAAATTCCTTAATGGCCTTAAGGGAAAATGAGGGGAGACAAAATGCGTGTGTATGAACATAACGACAGGGAGAGAGAATCACACACATGAGCAGACACACAGAAAGAAGCATATGCTTCTATAAGGAGAGTGAAAGCTTGAGAATGTTTATAAAGATTTTTCAACGGGGTCTGAATTCCTAAAATGGTTAAGAACCACTGGTTCAAGTTGAAAGGCAAAGGGCAACTGTAACCAAGACAGGCCTAATCAAAGTCACATCACATTTAAGAACAGTATACTATGGGTTTAGAGCAAATTTATCATTAAGAACACAAATTCCCAAAAACGTTCCAAAGCAAAAAGAAATTCATAAAACTATAAAGATCAATAGTTTATGTCAAATAATACATTTAAAAGGCAATCCACACTAATTAAACTAAAAATAGCAGTAAGTATTAGGCAATTTCAGGCTACCTCAAAGCTCTATCATAGTTTACTTGAAGTTCTTAAACAGAATCATTTATCGAAAATACTGAAATCTTTAATCCAGTTGTAGAGAGGCTAAAAAGACCAACCTTTTAAACCAAAATATCTCTAAGGAATCACAGATTTTAGAATAAGTCAGCCCTATTTAAGATGGCAAATTACATCACTCCAAGAAGTGAAGTCCAGAGAAAGAGGCCAGGACCCATGGGGACACAATAAGAGAGACGTTTGAAAAGTTGGACGTTTCCAACCTCTCCTGAGCCACGTCAGCCACTGTCACTGTGTGTGTGAGGTGCATTAGGTTCAGAGTTTAAAAATTCTATGACCAAGTAGTTTATCTGCGTTGTGATTTAACCTACCCAAAAGCCTGCTTCCAAATACTGTAATCCCCTTTGCTTAAATGACCTGACCAGGATCCCTGCTTATTACGTATACCCAAAGCAGCAAACAAGGAACCTTAAAAGAAAAGAAAAAAAGTTACTTTTCTGCCCCTATGGAGGCTGTTAACCAGAGCTATGCTTACTCTAACCAAGCACTCATTCATTACTTCCAGTCTGACAAAAAGAGCTATCCATTCTCAGCAAAGCAGAAAAAACAAAAACAAAACCAAAAAACCACTTCATTGTGGCATCACTACTTAGTTGTGAAAATCTCTCAGCTGAACCACAGGCCTCCCCCAATTCCTTAAAATGCCTCCTTTATCAAAATCTAGAAATCTATGAGTGCAGTATTTCTGGACTTTCCTACTCCACTGATTTGTCAGTTTCCACATGAAAAGCATGCTTCCTTAATCACGACAGTTTTATAATGTTTTAACTTTTTTTATTGAGTTATAGTCATTTTACAATGTTACGTCAGAGTCCAGTGTAGAGCACAATTTTTCAATTATACATGAACATATATATATTCATTGTCACATTTTTTTCCTCTGTGAGCTACCACAAGATCTTGTATATATTTCCCTGTGCTATACAGTATAATCTTGTTTATCTATTCTGCATATGCCTGTCAGTATCTACAGATTTTGAAATCCCAGTCTGTCCCCCCCCCCCGCACCCTTGGCAACCACAAGTTTGTATTCTATGTCTATGAGTCTATTTCTGTTTCATATTTATGTTCTTTTTTTTTCTTTTTAGATTCCACATATGAGTGATCTCATATGGTATTTTTCTCTCTCTTCCTGGCTTACTTCACTTAGAATGACATTCTCCAGTAACATCCATGTTGCTGCAAATGGCGTTATGTTGTCGTTTTCACAGCTGAATAGTATTCCATTGTGTAAATATACCAAATTTTCTTTATCCAGTCATCTGTTGATGGACATTTAGGCTGTTTCCATGTCTTGGCTAATGTAAAGAGAGCTGCTATGAACACTGGGGTGCAGGTGTCATCCTGAAGTAGGGTTCCTTCTGGATATATGCCCAAAAGCGGGATTCCTGGGTCACATGGTAAGTTTATTTCCAGTCTTTTGAGGAATCTCCATCCTGTTTTCCACAGTGGCTGCACCAAACTGCATTCCCACCAGCAGTGCAGGAGGGTTCCCCTTTCTCCACAGCCTCTCCAGCATTTGTCATCTGTGGACTTCTGAATCCCACTTTCTACACAGACAGTCACATGGTTTAAAAAACAACAGCTGGACCCTCCCTACTAGCACACGCAGCACCTGCTTTGCATCCGCTCCGTCACGCTGCTCAGGTCTCCAGCACATAGAGGGACGGAACATGGCAGGTCTGCCTTCTTTCTGACAGCACCCACTGTGCTCTCTCAAGTTCAAAGTGGTTTTTTCTATTATTACCACACCAATTTTTTTTTTTTAATGAAGAACAGGTACTGAATTGAGATGATCATATCATTTTCTTTTGACCAGTTGCTACAGTATTCCTGTGATAAATCCTTAAGCCATAATTTGTCCATATTCTAAATTACTCATCAACTCACATTCTCAAGATTTTATTTAATATTTTTGCAGCTTTAATCCTAAGTGACAGAGTTGTGAGTCTTGAAGGTATATATGCATGTTATTCTTAATTGGCTTTGGTACAGGGTTACACTAGTCTAAAGAGAATGACAGCATTCCATATTCTTGTAAGTTCCTAAACAAGCAAAATAATAATAAAGACATCAGTTTTTCACTGAAGGTTTGCTCACCTGCAAGCCACCTGCATCTTCCATGGTGCTGGATCTTTACCTATTTTTTAAAATTTATTCTGGGTTATTTTTCTGTTCAGGATTGTCTGTGTCAATTTGAGTAGGTTTTCCTACAAAATGAGCCATTTTATGAACATGATCAAATTTGAATATCAATTTCTAAATTAAGAAATTCTCCAAATGTAGTTTCATTGCCTTCTCAGTCTTGGTGCTACTGGCTTTTTGTTCCTTCCTCTCTTAGTCCAATTTGCTAGAGGGTTGTCAGTCTCACCAGCACTGTGAAGACCCAGCTGATACTTTCAATGGTCCCAAACCAACTGCTTTCTTTTCTATTGCAGTAACATACTACGTTCTCCCCTTCACCAATTCCCTCTTCCTACTTCGCTTACGTTTCTGCTGCATTTTCCTATCTTCTTAGTCATTCATTTTCTGTAATTCCTGCTTTCCAAAATAACAGCCTAAGATCAAAAACCATTCACTGAATCCTATATTGGCAGTACCTCAAGGATTTTAGTACATATTGCCCTACTTTTATTTCTGAAACAGCTTGGTATTTTAGGTTGTTTTTCGTTGTTGTTGTTGTTGCCCAAGAGGGGTTTGTTTGTGTTTATGTGTGTTCAGTTATCAGCTCTTTTGGGGGGCAGGTGGGAAAGATTTTTATTACTATTTTACGACTTATCAGTATCTTAGTATCTCGTATTAGATTGTAGCTTCTTGTTGCCTAGTAAATAGTCATCTTTCACATGTTTGAAAAGTACTTTAAAGACTTCAAAGTCTGTGGTTTAAAAGAGCTGTATGTAAATCTTTCATTGTGTAATTAGGATTCCAATTCTATCCCTTACTTTGTCTGCTTTTATTCTATACTCTGAGAAACACACGGAGGCCTCCCATGAAAACAGATCAGGCTACTCCCCCCAGAACGTCCAAGCATGTCACTGGACACAGCTTCATGCTCGAAGGGCACGAGAGCAGCAGCTTCTGGGTGAACTGCACCTTTACTCAGTCTAGACATTTCCTTTTAATCCACGGAAATTCATTTCTAGGCGTGAAATTTTTTGCTTTTATTACTACTTTCAAGTTAGTATCTGCTTGGAATTGTTTTTTTCCCATCCCCCTATATTCAATCTTTCTGCTTCACTTGATCTGAAATGCATTTCCTATGACAAGATCAGGTGGAGGCTGCACGTAACAAACACTCTACGGCTGGAGGCTTTTCTAACGAAGCATCACACCCGCGCTCTGCTCTGGGAGGTTTCTTTCTATTATTTCTCGATCACATTCTCTCCTTACACCCTGTCCTCACCTCTGAAAAGTCCGAGATAACAATTACAACACCTGGCTGCATGACTCCAGTCTCAGATTTTCCCTTATACCTTTCCTTACCTTGTCGTTTTACACCACTTTCTCAGAGACGACCACGACTAAATCTCTTGGTTCACTGCAGCAATCTTCTATTTGTCCACTCAACAATCCAGCCTTTCTAGTGGGTTTATTTCTACAATCGTATGGTTAGTATTTGAGGACCCCCAGCTCAGATTTCACAGCACAGCCTGCAGGTATGTTCCCAGACGCTCTCTAAGGATATCACCTCTTCAGAGACCAGTTTTTTCTAGAGTCTGGCGCCTTTCTTTCCCGTCCCTGCTTTTTCTCGGTTCTAGATGAAACCTATGGGACCCTGCCTTCAGGAGGAGGGGAGCAGGGTGAAGGCAGCTGTGAGGACTGACAGCACACACACACAAATGTCCCATTTTCTAGGAAAGAACACAAGAGGCTAACCCTCAAAGGAGCCATACAATTAATACAATTTCCTGACAGCCACACCCACCCTGGGCCCCCTCACGTCCTAACGCTTCAGAGAGCTAAATGTCGGGCCACACCCTGTAGGACTCACCAGAAACTGTTCCTGAAACCATAAGGCTATAGATTTTTGACCCCCAATCAATCCAACCAGGGCAAACTGCTAAGGCCCTGCTCCCTCCCCACTCCTGCCACCTCGGATTTGGGGAGACACAGGCTCCCGCAGTGAAAACCTGCTTTCCGAGGCTGCTGTTTTCTCTGTAGTTTGGGTTTCATCACCAAATGACATCACTCTGCTTTACATCTTCCCCATTAATTTCTAGCACTTGTTGAGGATAAAGGAGAGCTATTCTTTTTTAAAAAAATCTTCTGCCGTTTTTTTATTGGAATCTGAAAGAAAAGCAGGCAGACAAACAGCACTTAGGCAGTCTTTTTAAGAGTGAAGCCAACCCAACACTCTTTCTGCCTCACTTTAAATCTCATTCAGAAGTCAGGCATTAACAGAGAAAAGTGTTAAAGATATACACATGAACTAGGAATTAAACCCACCAAGGCCCACAGCTAAATAATCAACAGATTCCTAAAGACTTCATTCACTTATTTGGAAAAAGCAAAATGTACAATAAAGAATATCCACTCTCTCACACTGAGGGTAGATATAAAAAAAAAAGGAGAGAGATTTTACTTGAGACAGTTACTAGTTCTTTGAAGAAACGAAACAGAACGTAAGGCTAGAGACAGACTACGGAGGGGGCGGGCTCTGTTTTCACAGGGAGGCCGGAGAAGCGCCAAACCCTGAAGCAAACCTGTCTGTGCAGAGGTGGTTACACTCAGCAGCTGACTGCAAGTTGGGAAAGCCAAGTCCTCTGTCTCCAAAGTCTCACTTTCCACACACAAGAGTAGGAAGAAGAGTCAAAAGCACATGGAATTATGTATCAGGGACAGCGAGCGACGGAGAATCAGGGCCCAGGCAACTGACAGGTGTGAACTGTCCAAGTCTTAGGCTTTGGGCCATGGGGAAAAGAAAGGAAAAAAAAAAAAAAAAACCAAAGGAAAAGAAGCTGAAAGTGAAGGAGATTTCTGAAGGGACACTACATGCCCGCACAAAACAATGTAAGTGGTTTTAATAACTTCCATTTGGAGAAAACATGAGTGACATGAAAATGCCATCATTTACTTCTTTACCATTTTGAACTGATCTCTACCAAAAATGTGCAAGATAGGCAGAGCAGAAATTCATCATCTCCTTTTCAACATCAGGAATGAAAACACAAAGAAGGGAAGAAGCTGGCCAGGGTCACACAACAAACAGAAACACCCCCGTGAAAACTCCAGCCCCCACGCGGAGCCACACCCGCCCATCTGCACGGCCCTGCCGCCCCACGCGCTCCGGAACGCCGGGGACGCCCCGCCCTGCCCACCGCTGCCCCGCTCCCTGCAGCTGCAAGGGGCCTTCCCTGACCCTCCTGTCTTCCAGAAACACCATCCAGCTTTGACTCCACAGTTTGCCTGCCTGAATTTCACCATTTTTATGTATTTGGCACCTAAGAAATTTAATACATTAACTTGATAAATTGTAATCTAATGAGAAAACTACACTTATTTATTGAAGACTATGGAAATTATACCTTTTATGATTTTTCTTTCCCAAACAATACTGCTTTTTGACTCTTTCATTCACTGTATTATCCTATCAGACAGCAAGGTGGTGATAACAAACACGGAGCTGATGAAGACAGGAAAGAGGACGTGGCTTCTTCTAACAAAACACATGGACAAACCCTGGAACTCACACAATTACAGGTAAGAGCAACAAGCAGCCTCCAAGCCACTGAAGTAACGCACAGAGATTACACCTAAACCCGTAATGTACTCACTCTTATCGATACTTCCGTAAGAATCACTTGAAATCTGTGTTCCAATGTGTCTCAGTTCTAAAATGTGGGGAAATAACAGTTAAACAAAAAAACTGCAGGTCAAAACAGAACTTTTAAATAAGTATTAACTGAACACTCACCCTTCTCATGTTTCTGTTTAGAAAATTCATCCAGCCTTTCCTGCGAAAACAAAACACCAGCAGGGCCTGCAGTGCGTGCAGGATGCAGCGCTCCAGACAGGGCGCCGCTGTCCTCGCCGGGGCCTCGCTCGGACCCCCGCACAACTGGGGCGCGAGGGAGCCCTGGGGCCAGGAACTGGCACACGCGTGCCCGCCTGCTGGCTCTTACCTGTGTCTTCTTAAACTCCTTTTCGAGCATTTTCTTTTCGTTCCTCAGTTGCTTGAAGTCCTGAGTTTGCTTGACGGCAGCCTCTGTATTCAGAGCGTGCAGGGAAGAGAGAAACATCATCACCAAAGTTACAACTGCTGTCAATGAAGTGCTCAAAATAAAGGACCCACTGAGAGCTTTCGTTTCCTGAAATTTGAAACACCTCTTGTAGAAAGGTGCTGTCCCTTCAGTGCTGCCAGAGTCACGGGAAGTGCAGGGGCGCGTGCGTCCACGCCACTACCTGTGAGACCAGAGACCCGCTCCAGTCAGGCAACAGCCCGCCGCCCAGGCCTCGGGCGGGAGAGGCCGCGGCCCCTTGCTCTTTAACGCTCAGCAGCACTCAAGTTTCAGAGACTTGGACCAGGTTTTACCTCGAGTACAGCTCACACCGGCACCTCCATCTGGGGCAGGGGCAGTCTTCTGGATGCTTCTATACTGCTGCTCCTTCTGCCTGGCACTCCCTCTCCCTAAGCCAACAGTCCCAAGTCCCAGTGTCTTTACTGCAGGTCTACTGTTCAGCTATTTGCATAGCCTTTCTGTGGGTCTACAGCAAATTCTTAACTTGAGTTTTTGGTTCTGAGGCACTGAATGGTTCAAATATACTATTAAGAATCTGAGCTGTACTGACTTTATCTGAATACGTTCATTACAATTGCTGTGAAAAGCAAAACCCCACGAACACCATAGTAACAGCCCTCTCCTGACTCCTCTAACAAGCTCGAGCATTTCTTCACCCGATTATCATGTCCCATCACTTACTGGAGGAAAATATTTTTGTCACATGGAAAACACACTTGGAAAGGAAGTCTGCTCTAAAAGATTCATACAGTCTCACAGGCATTTTAGATCCCTTTAAAAAATGATCTTAAACAGACACTTCTCTCCACACACTAGCAAGAGAAGGCAGCCCTTAGACAGAGCACCATGAGTGCTCACTGCCCTGCCCAGGCTGCGCAATGAGCAAGTCAGAGGGAAAGATGTTAGCAAAATATTTACGGTTTAAGTCTGAAAAGCTGGGCTGAATCTAGGCAGGTTAATGACTGAAAATATATTCAGCAACTTTCGTTTAAGTTCTTACTGCACACCGGAACTGAGAAGAACCGAGCCTTCCCTCCTCCAGAGGAGGCCGAGCGCGGCCGGGCGCCCACGCACAGGGGGCAGGC